CAATGCTTTGAGGACCTAATGATGTGACTTTAATACAACTATTGGATTAACTGTGAGTTTCAATGTTATATGAAACACATTATCAATCTAATTATTATATTAAATTAGGTCTCTAACTTAGATTCCCAAATAAAGTCCAAATAACAATTTTCATTTGTCACTGTTATAAATATTTTTATAACAATTGTGATATCTATTTTTACTATTTTTTTTGGTATTTATAATAGTAAATGCTTCCATAAATATGATAAATAAAAGAATGTTACAAAAAAAAAATTTCAATACCGTAGACAACTCCACCAGATAACACAAGGTTTTGCTTATAAAACCCAAACCTCATATTCGAAACATACCCAACCTCATTGAGTACTTTACACCTTTTCAATGGAAAACCACCACCACCACCTACATAGCCAGACTGACCGAAAAGAAGGCCACCAAATAGTTGTGGTAATGGTGCCACTACCAGCACAAAGCCACCTCAATAAGCTTCTCCACCTTTCCCGTCTCATCTCATCCTATGGTATTCCGGTGCACTACCTCGGAACCACCACCCACAACCGCCAAGCCAAGCTGCGCATCCACGGATGGAATCCTCTCGCCGCCTCAAACATCAATTTCCATGAATTTCCAATCCCTTCTTTTCACTCTCCCCTCCTAACCCCAATGTCTCCTTCCCATCACATATTCTGCCATTATTTTATGCGTCATTGAGGCTTCGCGAGCCTGTTGGTACACTTCTCTAATGGCTTCCGTCGTGCAAGACGTCCCTTCAATACCGAACGCCGAGTCTTACAGTTCTGAAAGCGTATCAGCTTTTTTCATCTCCTTGTTCCACTGGGAAACGGGAAAACCTATCCCAATTGAACCGGAAATATTAAAAGAGGCTCCATCTCTCGAAATTGTGCTACATCGGAGTTTATGGAATTTTTACAAACACAAGAACAGCACGGGAGCTTCAACTCTGGATTTCTTCACAACACATGCAAATCAATAGAAGTTCCGTACCTCGATATGCTAGCAGAGGACCAGATTATTGGAACTAAGAAGCAATGGGCTATTGGGCCATTCCATCCGGTTGAAATATCGAAAGACGTGTTGGTTTTTTTTTATGGAGTCTAGTTTGTATATGTGATCCGGATGATAACCCGACCCGAAATAATGTTGTGTGGTTTTTAATGGAAAATTTTCTGAGGCTTAGTCCATGGAGCGAAGGCTTGGGCCGATTATACAGCCCAGTGCGTAGGACATATAAACCCTGTTGTTTTGGTGATTAGGGTTAATCGTGGATGTACAGCCGCTCTCTGTATTCAACTCTCTCAATAGTGAAATCCCTGCAGCTTCGTGGATGTAGGCAAATTGCCGAACCACGTAAAATCTGTGTCTTGTTCTTTCTTGTTTCTTATTGCTTTATATTCTTGATTTGTTCTTCGATTGTGTGTGTTTGTTAATGGATTCAAATCGTGAGAAATCCCAACAACGAAGGTTCAAATAGGCGTCATTCATGCTTGGAGTGGCTTGACAAACAGGTTCCAAAATCTGTGATTTTTGTATCTTTTGGAACCACCACTTCATTGTCTGACGAACAAATCAAAGAGCTTGCAATTGGATTAGAACAAAGCGGGCAAAACTTCATCTGGGTGTTGCAAGATGCAGATAAAGGAGATATATTTGCAGGAGAGGTTAGAAAGGCCGAACTGCCAAAAGGGTACGAAGAGAGAGTGGCAGGAAGAGGAATAGTGGTGAGAGACTGGGCACCACAATTGGAGATTCTGGGGCATCCTTCAACAGGTGGTTTCATGAGTCATTGTGGGTGGAATTCATGCATGGAGAGTATGAGCATGGGAGTGCCAATAGCAACCTGGCCAATGCATTCAGACCAACCAGCCAATGCTCTGCTGATAACAAAGGTGCTTAAAGTGGGTCTGGTGGTGAAGGATTGGGCTTGTAGACATGAGATTGTGACGTCATTAATGGTGGAAAATGCTGTTAAAAAATTGATGGCGTCAACCGAGGGAGACGAGATCAGGAAGAGGGCGGCAGATTTGGGTGTTTCTATTCGGCAATCTGTGGAGGACGGCGGACTTACTCGTATGGAGTTGGATTCTTTTATTAGTCACATCACTAGATAGATTTGTTTGTCCCCACATCAGCAAGTGGGCTGTAGAATTATGTGGTTCTATTTCTATAGTGATTTGTCTCTTTTTGCCTAGCCAACATTCTTGAATCTTCACAAGCAGATTCTAAAACATCCCTCTCCTACCATAGTACATGCAAGTTTACATAATTACTATATTACTGCAATGAGTGCATCAAAATAGAACTCATATTCTTGTCCATTTATTGGGTTCATATTATTCTCAAACAGAAATAGAATTGGGATTAATATTGTCACTGACAATTTAGTGAAAAAAAAAACCGACAACAAAAAACACAAATAAATTATGTGATTTGGTTATAAATTATTATAGTTTAAAAAAAAATTTGTGTTAGATCAATAGTTCCTAACCAAAAATAAATAAATAAATCTCACTGATCTAACCATCAACATTTTAGATAGGAGAATAGATTATTTACAGGTAGATTGTAAACCAATTGTTTACCAACAGTCAATCAAAATTTGACACTTACATAAATACAAAAACCAATGTTGAGGATTCGTGTAATTGTCAAATATTGATTTATTATCTATAAACAATTGGTTTACAGATTGTCCGTAAAAAAATTATTCTCTCTCGATAGTCCAGCTGCTGTCACATCCTAATATGTTATTAAGGTTGCAAGAATTGAGTAAGTTTTGAGAAGAAAAAACAAAAGCAAAAATGAAAAAAATGTTAATACAAAAACAAATGCTATTCGAAAAAGTTCTTAAAACGAGCAAAAAGACTAATAAAAGTAATTTGAAAAAATGTTACCATATGATACCTTAATAATTCAAAATTTTGGCAATGAAATTCAATTTTAGAAACAAACGATTTATTTTTTTGTCAAAAAACGAATGAAAATAGATGAGCTAAAATCAAATGGAGGTCGAGCGGCTCAATTCATTTAACATCCCTTATCCTATTACTATAGTACAATCAATATCTGATAATGGTGAGTTTATGTTTGGACCTCCCTATAGCTCAAAACCCTATGGGCTAGCAGAAGGCGGCTCTATTAATTCATCCTAAAAATATTCATTGGGCTCAAATTGGGCTACGACCTAGTTCCAGAGAGGCTCGATGCTAACGAGCTCAGTATATTTATCAACTCGGGATATGGACGCAAGACATCAGGACAATTTGCAAAAGTTATAGCATGACACGTGGATAAGGGATGAGAGAATTATTACTTGACGATTCTGATGAACAAAAATTCACAAGTAATTAATACGGATCACGTATTGCAATCGGCGAGTAGTAAATGCAAGAAGGTGTTGAGGGCCACATTTTGAGGACAAACACAAAGGGACCACAGTATCAGCAAAAACAAATCAACACAAAACCCGAACTAGCTGTTGTTGCCAATAGTGCAATATTGCACGAGAGAGCCTTTTAGAGAACTACTAAAAAAAAACCTATGCAATATTTCTATAAGAGACTTCAAGTCAAATATACTATAACTACAATCTTCTTCTCTAAGCAATATAATTTTTAAAAAGTAAGAACATTCTTTATAGTAGAAGTAATCTTAATCTTTTGGTGAAGGCGAACCATTCATATTATTATTTTCTCTTTGCATCATATATGTAGCATACACACTCACACTCTCATTCACACGCACACACTCGTAGGGCTATATTCAAAATTGTTCTCCAGTCGATTTTGAACACCATCGACATCAAACTTGGGATGCAATCTAAATAAATTTTCAACGGTCAATGAATCGGAAATAATCAAATGCAATAATCTAATCCTTGACCAAACGGAACTCAAACGGAATCCTGCTATGTCACTGTCCTTCGCACATAGTTCCACAATTGGTCAAGTTAAAGACAATACCGACTGTTGTCGGCCAACGTTTTTAATTGTTTTTAAAATTTAGACCAGGTCAAGACCATTAGTTTCCTCAGAAGCCATCCCCTTCCCCCACGCCAAACCCCAACACCAACCCCCCCCCCCCCCCCCCCCCCCCACACACACACACAAAATACCTATTACACTGTTCTAATTTTACTAATTTGTTAATCAAAAATCGTCTCAATCATTTACTGATCGAATTAGTGATCATACTTTAAATTTGAAGTATACACAATTATCTATAGAACACCTATATCAATTCCATTTGGTCAATTCTTAGGGATGGTCTATTGATTGTACTTATCTTTTGTTAATCCAAAGTCTCAAATTCAATTCTTTTTCACACATATTAAGAGTTAGCCACATTTGTTTATTTGAGAACATGTTCTAGACCAGCTCAAGTCACATTGACCAACTATTGAGCATGAAAAAATAGACGGCACAAATCTTGACACTATATAACAAAAATAAAAAACAAAAATAAATCAATTAAGTCATTCTTTTTACTAAAAACTTGAAAGGGTGCTCCCTAAAACATATTTAATTAAATTACCCAGATAGGTTTTCTATTAAATTTTTTGTCACTTTTGTCCTTACTCGTTGAACAAATTTATCAGTAATACTATGGTGACAAAATTTTTGGACTAAATTAAGAGGTTAAATGACATGACAGTATAATATTTGAAGTCTTTATTGAGACTTAAATGATATGACATCAAATAAATATGTCTAAATTTATTATCATGTCATTTAGTTTTAAAATTTGATTACAAAATTTGATCAGATCTTTTGAACGTGCGTACCACGGCTTGACTTTTGCTCATACATACTTTTTATATGAAGGGAAAGGGAAATATATATATATATATATATATATATATATATATATATATATATAAAAGAGAAAAGGCTCGAAACCTCTTCTACTTTTGCATATAAAACACAAACCTCATATTCGAAACATACCCCAACCCTCATTGAGTACTCTAAACCTTTTCAATGGAAAACCATCATGGCCAGAATGACCGAAAAGAGGCCCACCAAATAGTTGTGGTAATGGTGCCACTACCAGCTCAAGGCCACCTCAATCAGCTTCTCCACCTTTCCCGTCACATCTCATCCTACGGTATTCCCGTCCACTACGTCGGAACCACCACCCACAGCCGCCAGGCCAAGCTGCGCATCCACGGATGGGATCCTCTCGCCGCCACAAACATCCATTTCCATGAATTTCCAACCCCTTCTTTTCTCTCTCCCCCGCCCAACCCTAATGTCTCCTTCCCATCACATATTTTGCCATTATTTTATGCATCATTGAGGCTTCGCGAGCCTGTTGGTACACTTCTACGCTCTCTGTCAACTACAACTACAAGAGTCGTTGTCATTCATGACTCTGTAATGGCATCCGTCGTGCAAGACGTCCCTTCAATACCGAACGCCGAGTCTTACAGTTTTGTAAGCATATCAGCTTTTGCCATCTCCTCGTTCCACCGGGAAACGGGAAGCCCTATCCCAATTGAACCGGAAATATTAAAAGAGGCTCCATCTATCGAAAGTTGTGTGACATCGGAGTGCATGGAATTTTTACAAACACAAGAACAGCACGGGAGCTTCGACTCTGGATCTCTTTACAACACATCAAATTAATAGAAGATCCGTACCTCGATATGCTAGCAGAGGACCAGATTATTGGAACAAAGAAGCAATGGGCTATTGGGCCATTCCATCCGGTTGAAATATCGAAGGACGAAGATTCAAATAGGCGTCATTCATGTTTGGAGTGGCTTGACAAACAGGTTCCAAAATCTGTGATTTTTGTATCTTTTGGAACCACCACTTCATTGTCTGATGAACAAATCAAAGAGCTTGCAATTGGATTAGAACAAAGCGGGCAAAACTTCATCTGGGTGTTGCGAGATGCAGATAAAGGAGATATATTTGCAGGAGAGGTTAGAAAACCTGAACTGCCAAATGGTTATGAAGAGAGAATAGCAGGAAGAGGAATAGTGGTGAGAGACTGGGCACCACAATTGGAGATTCTGGGACATCCTTCAACAGGTGGTTTCATAAGTCATTGTGGGTGGAATTCATGTATGGAGAGTATGAGCATGGGAGTGCCAATAGCAACTTGGCCAATGCATTCAGACCAACCAGCCAATGCGCTGCTGATAACAAAGGTGCTGAAAGTGGGTCTGGTGGTGAAGGATTGGGCTTGCAGACAGGAGATTGTGACGTCATTAGTGGTGGAAAATGCTGTTAAAAAATTGATGGCGTCAACCGAAGGAGATGAGATCAGGAAGAGGGCGGCAGATTTGGGTGGTTCTATACGGCAATCTGTGGAGGACGGAGGAGTTACTCGTATGGAGTTGGATTCGTTTATTACTCACATCACTAGATAGATTTGTTTGTCCCCACATCAGCAAGTGGGTTGTAGAATTATGTGGTTCTAGTTCTATAGTGATTTGTCTCTATTTGCCTATTCAACATTCTTGAATCTTCACAAGCAGATTCTAAAACATCCCTCTCCTACCTTAGTACATGCAAGTTTGCATAATTACTATCTTACTGCAATGTGTGCATCAAAATAGAACTCATATTCTTGTCCATTTATTGGGTTCATGTTATTCTCAAACAGAAATAGAATTGGGATTAATATTGGCACTGACAATTTAGTGAAAAAAAAAACCGACAACAAAAAACACAAATAAATTACGTGATTTGGTTATAAATTACTATAGTTTACAGTCAAGATTGAAACTTTTTATTATGGAGGAACAGTAATAAAAATCTTAAATCTTAGACTTTCGAAATAGAACTAACCTCTTTGGTCTATTATATAATTCTTTCCATAGCACAACATCCCATCGAAATGTTTATGATATACACAAGGGAAACTTTAGATATTTTTGTATACATAAATAAGGATAAATATTCCGCAAGAGTGCTATTGGGAAAAACTATCGTGGCAACTAAGTTCTATCCTTAGAGTTATTCTAAAGTCAAATTTGGATCCTGCAAAAAGGGTTAGAGGAATATAGCAATTGATAAACAAAAATGAGGAAGAATTTGTGTTATTTCTAGTGTAGAGTTGGATGATTTGGTGGCATCGAAATGAAATGGTTAAGACAGGATGGTCAAAAAATTCAACCGTAATCACTCAGGCTGCGTTGGAATAGACCAAGCGAATCCAATACTTTGTAGAGCCCGTGCCTTCCGTTGCTTAGTCAATTGGTGCTTCTCGTCGGAATCCACCCAATGCAGGTAAGTTCAAGGTGAATTTTTGTGGAGATGTCTTGGTAATAGGCAAAGAAATTGTAATGGTGTAGTTATGCAATAGGAGACGAGAGTTTTTGTGACTGACTTATCAAAGAAGATTGAAACTAGGGGTTCATGCCTAGAAGTAGGAATGATTGTGTTGAGGGGGGCCATCAAATTCGCCTACCAACAACGAGTGGATGAGGCTGTTTTTGAAGGACAGAATAAAAATCTTCAAGGTTCAACAAGCTAGTTTTGTAAAAGATTTCATTATAAGAGCATGCTTATGAGTTTGTAACGTCGCTCTTATTTTAAGATATTCTAGTCTGAATAAAATATTATCGAGTCTATTCAAATAAGAAAAAATATTCATTTCAAGTTTGGATCATGTTATAATTAATTCTTTCTTATTTTAATTTTAACTATTTGCCCCTTTCATGCGTTCGAGTCGCAAAAACAACTTCTTTGTTTTTAGTGGTAAGACTGCGTACATCTAACTCTCCCCAAACCCTGTAATAACGAAAGTCTCGTATACCAGGTACACATTCTATTAGAAAAAATTATAGATTTTTCTCTAAAAAATGTGATGTTGGCCCCTTGTCCTGCATTTGGTTCCATCCTTGATTGACAGCCTTTATGTCTGGGCTCTCACCCAAGGGGTGTGTTTGGTTAGTGGGATAAAGGGAGTTAACATCTATAAGGATAGGTAAATAAGGTAGTGGGTCTCATTTATTCTTTGTTTAAGAAACAGTTTTTGCGACAGGATAAAAATCTCAAATCAAGCTTTGACCTGGTTGCTACAGTGGTTCATAACCCCTTACACCGGTTACAATTAATCCACCCCCCATGGGTTATAAATCCAGGCAGCAGGTTAACCATCTAGCAGTCCCATTTGCCAATCTTTTTCCCTATCACTCAACCACTCACACACAACTACACACACAAAGCTGAGCTCGTCCATGGGTTTGGGTTAGAGGTGACGACGAAGGTGATGCACAATGGCGTGATAGACCTAATGGTCTTAAACAGATCAAACAGAAAAACTAACATTAACTCACGGAATCCATAACAATGATTTTTGATGCGAAAATCTCCACGAGAAGAATACCAAGAATACCAAATATAATCACGAACTTGATTCTCCTTAATGATTACAGATGGATTTTTTTAGAGAGTGGGAGATACTGAAAGCGTAAATAAGAGATGAGGTCTCTCAAGTAATTTATATCCCCCTCACTAGTAACCAACTGCCTCACGTTAAAAAATCAGTAATTGTTTCCTCCCATCAAGGTAACTTTTAGGAAACTGATTATATGTTAAACATGTTCCCTTGTCTCTAGAATACCACTTGCACAAGAAAACTACCCACTAATTTAACCAACATGTGTTAGGTAATTTTAATTAGGATATCCTTAGCCCAAAACCCAAGTCTGTACCTTGTTAATTAAAGTCCACATGTGGATCCCATTAAATTGGTTCCAACATTCTCCCACCGAATTGACAAGGAAATTGAAAAAAAATGATAATAATAATACTTGTATTTTGAAAATAAGTAAATACTTGGGTTGGGTATAGTTATGCATGCTCTTTACCATATTATCTCAATATAAGTGAGTTTAACTTTATTCTTGATTACTTGAGCCTAGTAATAAGAACCATAGCGGATATACACCAATAAATAGCATACATCCTTCCATGATCACAATATCACCAAACCCTCATAAACAATACTTTAGGCTAAATTTCTTTACGAATGGATTTTCCATAAAATCCATTTGTTGGTAAAATATTTTCTGCTAAAAACATATTCTTACCACAAAAATATAATAAGCATAATAACATAATAATGTGATACAATAAATTGATAATGTCTCCAAATGTGCACATATAGTACATCAAATAATAACATTGTTCACTAGACCCATATGATCCGCATGATCTTTATACAATCCTGAAGCTATAGCTTTGGTCATAGGGTCTGCCACCATAAGCACAGTACTGATGTACTTAACTGACACCTTATTTTCATCACATTTCTCCTTTATGACAAGGTATTTAATATCCATGTGCTTGTTATCATTAGATATCTTGCCATTATTTATTGAGGAAACGGCCCCTACATTATCAAAAAACATCCTTATAGGATTCGAAATAGAATCAACTTCCTAAAGTCCAATGATAAAATTTCTCAACCAAATTGTTTGTGTAATAGCCTCATAGCATGCAGCTAACTCAGCCTCCATAGTAGAAACGACTGTCAATTTCTGTTTAGTACTTCTCCAAGAGACTACACTATTAGCAAGCAAAAATATATATCCTGAAGTTGATCGCTTGCTATCTAGGCATCCTACAAAATTGAAATCTGTATATCCGACAACCTCTAGAGAATCAAATCTGCTATATGTAAGCATATAATCTTGTATTCCTTGTAGATATCTAAGCACCTTCTTTGCAGCTCTCTAGTGATCCAAACCTGGGTCACTCTGGAATATGCCCAATACACCAACTACAAATGCAATGTCGGGTCTGGTGCAAATGTGGGCACACATTAAAGTCCCAACCAATGAAGCATAAGGATATGCTCTCATTTGCTCCCTTTTAAGCTCATTTCTCAGAGATTGAGACTTACTTAATCTGTCACCTTTAGACATAGGTGCAGGGCTTGGTTTGGAGTTTTTCATACCATATCTCTCCAATATTTTCTTAATGTAGGTCATTTGAGATAGATAAAATTTTTCTCTAGATCTATCCCTGTGAACCTCTATGCCTATGACATATGAGGCTTCACCTATATCCTTCATTTCAAAATAACTGGAGAGAAAATGCTTAGTCAATTAGCAATGCCAAATCACTACTAGTGAGCAAAATATCGTCTACATATAGGACTAGAAAAATGAATCGACTCCCACTGATCTTAAGGTATATACAACGATCAACGACATTTTCTACGAAACCAAATGAAGAAATCACATCGTTGAACTTAAGATATCATTGACGGAAAGACTGCTTGAGTCCATATATAGATTTATTTAGCTTGCAAACCATATTACTCTGTCCCTTTGAAACAAAACCCTCAGGTTGTTTCATGTACACCTCTTTTTTCAAATCTCTATTGAGAAAAGCACATCCATCTGGTGAAGCTCCATGTCAAAATGAGTCACTATTGCCATAATTATCCTTAAAGAGTTTTTCTTAGAAATAGGTGAGAAAGTCTCATTGTAATCAATGTCTTCTTTCTGAGTGAACCCCTTGGCAACAAGTCTAGCCTTATGTCGTTCTACCTTTCCTTTATAGTCTCTTTTGGTCTTATAGACCCATTTATAGCTGACTGTTGTGGCACTAGGAGGTAGTTCAACTAAATTCCAAACATTATTTTTATCCATTGAGTTCAACTCTTCTTTCATGGCATCATACTAGTTGGAAGAATTCAAACTATTCATGGCTTGTGAGAAAGTAGTTGGATCATTACATTTTCCAATATCAAAATCGGACTCTTGAAGGTACACAATATAATCTGATGGAATTGCAGATTTCTTAACCCTTGATGACCTCCTTAAAGTTTCTTCTTGTCTTGCTACACGTGAAGGTGAAGCAAGATTCTCAGTGATAGTGGGTTCAGTTACAGATGGTACATTAATAGTTGACTCATGCTCTATCAAATTATTATGAATAATGGGATGAGGAATCATTACCAATTCATCTGAACTTTGCATAAAAATTGGATGTTCCTCAAAAATAATATTTTGAGGTTGTATACTCCCACTGACTTGGTCATTTTCAAGAAAATTTTCATTTCGTGTCTTTACAATCCATAGAGAATGATTAGGACAATAAAATATGTATCATTTGGACTTCTCTGGATAACCAATGAAATAGCCACTTATGGTTCTAGGGTCCAACTTTTTCTCTTGGGGGTTATACACCCGAGCCTCAGCTTGACAGCCCCAGATATAAAGATGTGCTAAACTGGATTTTCTACCTGTCCATAACTCAAAAGATGTTTTAGGGACAACCTTAGTAGAAACCCTATTTAGAATGTACATATTGGTTTTCAAGGCATCACCTCAAAAAGAGACTGGGAGAGTGGAGTAACTAATCATACTCCTAACTATATCCATTAGTGTTCGATTCTGCCTTTCTGCTA